AGGGGTGACAGGCTGTTTCATGCCATCGTCAGGCTACCTATTATTATTATTATTATTATTATTATTTTTTATTACTAGCGGCCTGACGATTGTGTCCAGCATGAAACTATCTGTCGCCCCTGAGTGTTGACTTCAATGTTCACTTTTTATATTTATATTTACATAAGCTCTATCTCTTATATTGAGCACTTTATCCCATAAATATAGTACACCATAAAATTATATTTCTTTACATACGCAGACAGAAACACACACACACACACACACACACATATATATATATATATATATATATATAAAATATATATATATATATGAAAATATATAGAAAATAGGAAGGAACTGGTTAGGTAAATAATCCAAAGTCCCTTTAGTATTTTTTTAGTTATTATTTTTAAAAAAAATAGTGCTCGATACAAAAGTAGAGCATAAATATAATTATTTATTTAAAAATATGATTCCAAATCGCTACATAAGAGGTCTCATGTTTCAAAACAAGAGCCAAAAAAATACAATATAATCCTTTAAATTAAATTGAGTTTAAATTAAAATGGGCTCCGTTCCATCTTCAAGTGAAATTTTTGTTGGAATAACGTATATCTGAAATTTACTTGTTTTAAAAATTGAAATCAAAATCCCCATGGTAACAGCTAGGACGAATTGTTTAAATTGGGTAGGTGAGTGTAGGGTGTTAATAATAAGTAGCGGTATTTTAATTTAAACTCAATTTAATTTAAAGGATTATATTGTAAGTTCGGCTATGTTTTGAAACATGAGACCTCTTATGTAGCGATTTGGAATCATATTTTAAATAAATAATTATATATATATATATATATATATATATATATATATATATATATGTCTTGGCTTTGGCTTCGCGAAGGAACATTTATGAAGTGTGCTGACCACGCCGACTGCAGGTACAATGATGTCCGACCAGGCCGATACGGGACTGGCAACTACAATTAAAGGTTTGGTCTGGTATAGCTGCTGAGGCATCCCGGTCCTTCCACACGCGGCGTTTCTGTTTCGGGTTGGCCCTGATAGAATCCTCAAAAGTGGAGATGGCCTGGTGGACGTTGCGGCACCCGGCTTGACGGTCAGCAGCAAGTGTCGACCACTGGCGATTGTGAACGTCGCAGGTACCCAGGGACATCTTGAGGAGTCCCCATAACGCTTCGTAAGTGCCCCTCTGACAGTGAACAGTACGCCATGCAGGGCTATCTTGGTAGGCGATGGTCCCCGTCTGAATATATATAATCCAGAATATATATATATATATATATATATATATATATATATATATATATATATTTAAAGTAATTTATAGAAAGAATTAATTAGAAATGATAATGTAATTAATGGTGAAATCACTTCACTAACAAGACTTAATGAGACATTAACTTACTATCAATTCCTTGAATAATACGATCCTTATATTAGAGTTGTTATATACAGGCAACACCCTAAAACGAAATATGAATAGTGTTGACCGAAAGATGTTTTCTTTTTTAAAATATGCAATTTTTTGACAGTTAATTTATTGTGGAGTGTATATAAAAAAAACTGCGCCTCTAAGGTGACAATTGTTCAAAGTATTTGTTCCTCAATTTTAGTCAGCCCTTGTGTTGGTCAAACAGTCTCTTTTAAGTTGAAATTTAAGATAAGAGCTGGATGGATTCATGCTGCTCTGAATTCCCTTGATCATTTTGACAGTTTTAATGGTCCCTGGAAAGGCGATGTGCCTCTGTTAAGTGTGTGTATTATTTGATTCTTAGAGAGTGAGAATAAACAATATATATATATATATATATATATATGTGTGTGTGTGTGTGTGTGTGTGTGTGTGTGTGTGTGTGTGTGTGTGTGTGTGTGTGTGTTTTGAACAATAAAAAATATTAAAAAATTAAAATCTTCAGACACACTCGATTCCTCGACTAGTTTCGGCTAACATGGCCATCATCAGGAGAAAAAAAATTCTGCTTCTTAGTAAAAGTGAACTACAGAAATGAATGACTTTATGGAGAAAATGAACTTTTGTCTGTAGTTTTCATTTGTTTTTTTGTTTTTTTTTTTAACATGAATTTTGGACAATCCTTGTGTTGGTCAAACAGTCTCTTTTAAGTTGTTATTTGAGATAAGAGCTGGATGGATTCATGCTGCTCTGAATTCCCTTGGTCATTTTGACAGTTTTATTGGTTCCTGGAAAGGGGATGTGTCTCTGTTAAATGTGTGTGTTATTTGGTTCTTAGGGAGTTAGTGAGTATGATGTGTGTAAGTGTGTATATTGGTATGTGTGAGTGTATATTTGAGGCCTCAACACCTCCACAATCATATCTGTCTTGTGTGAGTGAAAAATGTTTGATTTGTCAGGTTATCTATCTATCTATCTATTAAAAGATATGCATAATATCTTAAATTGATTGCGCAACTCCGAGTTTCATGTCGAAGCAATTTTCAAGTGGTCGATGTTTTTAGCACAATTGTAGCTAACTTTGATGTTATTTTTGTTAAATATCTTATTAAATGTTGGGGAATGACTAAAGTACACACACACACACACACACACACATGTTATTTTTATTATAAGTGATTATAATAAAACATGTTGAAAACGCTACACAAAAGCTTTCATGTTTCAATACTAAGATTGTACTTCTTCAGGCGATGGTAAAGAACTGGGGATTAAATGATTTTTAAGGAAATTCAAATTTCGGAAAAGAGGTAACACCTTGTTTTTAAATTTCATTAAAAATCATATTCTCTTATAATAAAATAATAATATATTGTTCTACTTTGTATTGAGCACCTTTTTAAAAGTAATGGAATTTTATTCTATCGATAATTTTGTGACTCAAACGAACACTCGTTGCCATTTTTGTAATGACTTTATTGCCTTGCATGGGGTAAAATATAGCAGTTCAGCACTGTTTTCTTCGTTTCTAATGAAATTGTCCTGTTTCTTAATAATCTCTTCGGCTTTAGGAAGGCATCTTTTGCTAATCCAACGTGACTTCGGCTTTTCGGTGACACATTTTCCATCATCTGTTAAAACACGTTTGGGACGTCAACGAACACCCGTTGCCACTTTTGTAATGTCAACGAATACTCGTTGTCACTTTCGTAAGGGCTCGTTGTAGTAGAGACTTTGTAATCGCAGATACAACTATAGTAACGCCTTCGAATAACACTTGCAATAGAACTTGATCTTTAATTCAATTTAATTTTAACAGTTATGTTGGTGTTTTTGGCTCTTGTTTTTGAAACATGAGAATTTTTATGTAGCGATGGAATAATATTTTTTAAAAAATTATTATAATATATATATACATATATATATGCACACACACACACACACACACACACACACACACACATATATATATATATATAGGCAGCAATTTTTCATCAATACATGTTTCATAGACAAGTTTCGTCTATTTTAAGTAAATTCCTTTCATATTGTCTGATAAGCTTAATAACATTATCATTATAAGACGAAATGAAATCACCATATTGATACATGTTTAAATCCAATCTAAGCTTTCGGCTTACATAAGCCATTATCAAAGATGACAATTACTTTTCAATATATCAACCAATACACGGACGAAACAATAATTTCAAAGCACCGACTAACTCGTGTATACGAGACGCGGAAGTTAAAATCGCATCGAAACTCGTGACGTCACACATGACCACGCGAGAGTGAAAACGAGAAGTATAAAGTATAGGAAACCGTTGGTATAAACCAATTGCTTCTCTTATAAATTAATAGGCATTTAAGAATATTTTTGGAGATTTCATAATCATTTTGTTGAGGTTAGGTTTCAAATGTTTTATATATATAGCTTCAAGAATTTAAAATTTTTGTTTATTGTTTTCATGTTTAAGTATAGTTGTGTTTTCCACGAGGATTTTCCGGAATTGTGTACGCGGCCAGGCATGTTGTTTTTAATGCCTAAAAATGTTAGAGTTTTCATTCAAATGTAGAGTCAAGCGTCGTGAAAGCGAGTTTGTGGTGTGACCAACATAAATATTATTTAATTCATTAGCGATACAATCTCCCAAAGGGCATTTGAATTTGAGATTTCCTTTCGTCTTTCAATGATAATGTTATTAAGCTTATCAGACAATATGAAAGGAACTTGCTTAAAATAAATAGACAAAACTTGTCTATATTATTTAATGAAACATGCATCAATATATATATATATATATATATATATATATATATATATATATATATATATATAATATATATTTATCACTTAATGTATCTACGTGTTTGAATGATTATATATCCATACGTTTAATGATGTTCGAGTTTCATTTCAAAATATGAAACTTGTTTTTCTGAACAGGTGTATTGTTTTTTTTTTCTTATATTCAAGCGATAAACTGACATAAATAAGAACTAAATATAGAAAGCCCAACACGGTGAGAAATCTGGTAAAACCTGTTATTAGACGAATATTGGTCTATAGCGATTTTATGGATGTGTTTTGACTGCGGAGAACATTTACAAAATGCAGAAAAATAAATAAAAAAGCAAGAAAGAGGTTAGCAGTCAAGAAGGAAAAATATCGAACGGCAGACAGACAGATAAAGAAATAAACAAAATTAAGACACACACACACACACATATATATATATATATATATATATATATATATATATATACTATGAATAGATGACAAAGATAGATAAGAATATATATATATATATATATATATATATATATATATATATATATATATATATATATATATATATGAACGAGACAAACAGACAGGCATATGAATTTCGAAATAAAGTCATATAGATATATTGAGAGAGATTGATGTAGATAAATAAATAGACAGACGAATAAATAGATGCATAAGTAGATAGATATTAATTAATATTAATACTTAGACGTGTTTATATATATATATATTGACACAGACGAGCAGGTATAAATAGACCGATATGAAGTGAAATACACACACACACACATATATATGATAGATAGAAGACAAAGACAGACACAATTTTCTCAGATATGAACTTATATAGATTCGTATGAAGATAGATAGATAGATAGATAGAAACGAGACAGACCGGAGGGGATAGATAGATAGATAGATAGATAGATAGATAGATAGATAGAAAAAGAAGGAAAAGTCAGAAACACAGACAGTTGGGACCTCACAGATATGAACAAAGTGGGATACATCGATAGATAAATAAATAAAAAATAAAGAAAAAGAATGGAAGAAAGAAACAAGATATGAACAAAACTGTCATAGATAGATAGATAGATAGATAGATAGATAGATAGATAGATAGATAGATAGAAAAGAAAGAAAGAACTCTGAACAGATAGATAGATAGATAGATAGAAAAGAAAGAACTATGAACAGATAGATAGATAGATAGATAGATAGATAGATAGATAGATAGAAAAAAAGAAAGATATTAAAGAAAGAAATATGAACAGATAGATAGATAGAAATCGATAACAATATAGATCGCGGGAAATTCATCTTGATTTGCTTTGGTCTGCTGGTTATTTAACTACTTTCGCAGCCCATAACTGCTGTCGTAATGTGTGTACTTCGCACTGCTGGTTCGACGAAGTTCTGTCAGTCATATTAGATTGACTTTTGAACACGATGGGAAGGGCAAGGACAAATTGTTCACTTCACATGAGACTAAATATATTGCATATATTATCGGTCGACAATGGAGCCATAAACTGGCAATTAAGATTACGATGCGCAGTACCTTCAGTTGACGATTCTCGTCACGTTACGATAGACTGATTTTTTAAGTTCGAATTCCGATGCAACTCAGACGACAGACTATGCGACACAGAAATCCCAAGAAGCTTTAGCAAAGCGGAAGATACCTCCCAAAATATAAACAGATATATATATATTATTATGCCTACATATATAAATATATTATTATGTCTATTATGGCTATTATGCCTACATGAAAATATACACATTATTAAGTTTCTAAATAACGAAATTTTATTAAATCAAAGGAATGAGGTAATGGTTTCTTGCCGACACTATCAAATATTCGACTTAAATAATTAGCATTTTATAAAAAAATAAAAACAAAAATTTCAAAATCTATTAACAAGTTCAATTAAAGCAATCGGTTTAAAAACACAACCCAATCATAATCTTAAAGTCTCTTTAAGAAAAAAACAAATAAATAAACACCCAAAAATACCGGGACTACAACATCAATCAGTTAAAGTCTTAGCATACAATAATAAAAAACAAAAGAAACAACAGAACTACTACATCAATCATTTAGTGTTTTATCACGGAGCCTGATTATATTAGCCATTGTGGCCAGACAAAAAAAAAAACAACCGAACCTTATACGACTCCAAAAACTTGACATACCACAAACACCCCTACTTCCATCAAAGCAGTGACCCCTTGATAAAGAAAAAGCAAACCCTAGATCACACCTTCTTTTCTAAACTATAAACGACTAAAACATTCTGCCCCATAGTTATTTCAAAACAATACTGGAGGATGAAAGTGTCACCCAGCAGTTAAGATTTAATATTGGAATTAAACTTAAATGCTGCTAACCAGTATATATATATATATATACTCTTGATTAGATATTTAAGGAAAGAGCGAAGAAAAGACTAACCACCAATTGCAAGGAGACAGAAAACCCAAAATGCTCTCGACTATTTACTTTTAATCATTTTCCTCCAAGAAAGTTCATAATTGTACTAAGTTACAAGGGGTGATCGAGAGTGAAAAAACTCTATTGATCCCCCTATTAGGCTCTTAAAACGTTTTGGTAAAATATTCGAGACTTTGTCTATATCTCCGAGATGAGGTATTATGATGACTTGCATTATTTACATTATTCGGACTGTTATATTCATCTTCATTGCCATATTCACAACGTTTCAGCCTCTATATCTCTGAGATGAGGTATTATGATTACTTACATTATTTACATTATTGAGACTGTTAACCTCAACTTCATTGTCATATTTGCAACGTTCCGGCCGTTGTACGCTCCGGCCTTCTTCAGGTGATTGGAATTTTGAACCGAACCCTTTATTTCGTCCACCGGGATAGATTGTTCTACTTCCACGTGCCATGCCTCTTCCGGGTGTCTCAGTTATTTCCTGGCGCCTGGTATTGAACTCACAACTCTTTGGGTCTAGTCACTGGATCTAACCGACGTCTTTATCCACTGGAGCATGTTGAGTTGTGAGTTCAGTACCAGACCACTGAGTGGTGAAGCAAAACTGGGAGAGTTGAGTTAAAGGGAAATAACTGAGATATAAGGAAGAGGCATGGCACGTGAAAATAGAACAATCTACCCCCGTGGATTAAATAAAGGGTTCGGTTCCATAGGCATTAGTTTTAGTTCAGTTTATACTGTTTTAGATTTTCTTTTTTGATATTGTCAGGATGTGAAAGATGTCCTTGAGATGGGTCCCAAGAATCCTGACACCAGTGCAGAAGCTGAAAAATGGTTGTCATTTCCAGCCTGAACCAGAAAGCAGAAAATTTTTGTTGTGGCAACACACTACCACTTTTTATGTAGCTAGAAAAACTAATCCAGATTTCTGTCTTAATTTCTGTGCAGGTGAGGCCCATACAAAGGTGTGAGGCGTGAGAAGTCATAAAGTATCTGGAAAAGAAAGCTATAATATCCTAGGAAATCCATGAAGACATGGTACAGACTGTTGCAGTTTTTTGTGTATATATCTACTAGTGAATTAGCCCAAATGACTTGACTCACTTTATAGTCCACCAATAGAAAGTTAACCAATCAGAAGACGTAGAATATTCAATCCGTCGTTTATAAAGGACGCCATTTTGTTTACTCTATCCGAATGTCCAGTGCCAGCTTGTCAGGCGAAGAGGAACAGAAGAAATAACTACGCTCTGCTACTTTTACCGGGATATCCACTGCTAACCTGAACAACGCTTTCCTACTGTCTTCGAAATATTCACTGCTAACCTCTGGATTCTATACTCAAAGACGATCGTCATCATGAACAACACAGACAGCTGCTGAGGAATCCCTCTCCTATGCAACTGTGCAGGTAGGACCTATTCAAAGGCGAAAGGTGTGCGACAAATCTAACAATGGACAAAACACAGGCCCGAGCATTCATAAAGTATCTACAAAAGAAATTATGGCCCTCAAGGAAATTCATGAGGACAGTCACTTACTGAGAACTCCCCTTCCTATGCAATTGTGAAGAGGTGGGCTGCAGAATTCAAAAACAGAGCAGGAACAGCACGGAATATGACCCTAGAGTCAGTTCGTCCAAAAAACTTCCAGCACTGATCTACAAGTTGATACCATTCACCGTATGGTTTTGGATGACATACGTCTTACCATCCAGCAGATAGCTAAGTCCATCGGCATTAGTTCTGGTTCGGTCCGTACTGTTTTAACTGAGATCTTGGGGATGAGCAAGCTGTCTGCAAGATGGGTCCAAACAATACTGGCACCAGTGAAGAAACTGAAAAAGGGTTGACATTTCCAGTAAAACGTCTGATTCGCTTCCAGGCTGATCCCGAGAATTTTCAATGCATATTCGTAACTTAACATGAAATTGTAGAATAACAATACAATAAACAGCACTTACCGGCGTAAGGGTCCCAGCTAGCGTCCAGCTGACAGACAAAAATAAAGCAGGTTGTAACTTAATACAAACCCTGCAAACTAACTGATGAATCAAGCTGGTATTTATATAGAAATACGTCTACTCAGGTACCAGCAGCCAATCACAGCCCAAGCAATGGACTATCCCACTTTAGCACAATGAGATGTTCCATGTCACCATAAATAGCTCTCTTTCTCAAGGTTGAACTATTATTCACTTAGCTTGCTCTACAACTGAGTGTTTATCTCGACCACGTGATTTTTCTACAGAAATCTGGGTTCGCCATTTCGAACCTGAATCAAAGATTCAAAGCAAACAGTGGAAACAGTCCGGTATTCCACCCAAAGAAGAAATTCAAGTAGGCAACGTCTGTTGGAAAAGTGATGGCTCTGTTTTTTTAATTTTATTTTGAAGGCGTAACCATGATAGACTACCTGGAAAAGGGGAAAACATTTAATGCATAGTAGTATGCATGAGAATTAAAATAACTGAAGGGAAACAACCAAGAAGACATGGCACAGTGGATAAAGGTGTTAGTTTGATCCAGTGACAGGACCCAAAGAGTGTGAGTTCAATACCCGGTTAAGGCAGTGGAGAACTTTCAGAGGGGCAGTAACAGGAGATAACTGATAACTGACATTCCTTAAAACATTGCACGTGGAACTAGAACAGTCTACCCCAGCGAGCGAAATAAAGGGTTAAGTTCGACATTCCAACCACCCGAAGAAGGCCGGAGCGTACAACAGCCGAAACGTTGTAATAAATATGGCTACAAAGATGAGGACAATAGCCCGAATAATGTAAATAGTGTACATAATACCTCATCTCAGAAATGTAGACAGATACTGAAAGGCCAAAACGTTGTAATAAATATGGCGACAAAGATGAGGACAATAGCCCGAATAATGTAAATAGTGTACATAATACCTCATCTCAGAAATATAGACAGATACTGAAGGGCCAGAACGTTGTAATAAATATGGCAACAAAGATGAGGACAATAGTCCGAATAATGTTAATAGTGTACCTCATCTCAGAAATATAGACAGACTCTTAAACCTTGTTCCGCTAAATATTTATTCAAGTTCTCTAGGTACGTTATGCGTTGTTTCCCTCTCGTCTTCAGTCTGTTGGAAAGATGATGGCTTCTGTTTATTTGTTTTTTTACCACTTATAAAACTAGAAAAACTAATTCAAATATCTATCTTAATTCATGTGCATGTGAGGTCGATACAAACGGGAGACGTGTGCGATAAATCTAAGAATATGAAAAGAAAAAAAAACAGCAGCTCGAGCATACAAAAAAAGACATGACATCCAAGAAAAAGATGACCATCGGTCAGATTGTCCAAAATCCTCAATTACTTATGCACAAAATGATGCCACTCACAGTATGGTTTTGGATGACAAACGCTTTACTGTCTAACGGTTAGGTAACTCCATAAACATTGAATCTGGATCGGTCCATCCTATTTTAACTGAGATCTTGGAGATGAGCAAGCTGTCTGCAAGATGGGTCCCAAGAACACTGACACCAGTGAAGAAGCTGAAAAAGGATTGACATTTCCAAAACACTTCTGACTCGCTTCCAGGCGGTCTTGTAGAATTTCCACCGTAGAATAATGACTCTAGATAAAGTCGGGGTTTACCAGATCGAACCTGATTGAAAGATACAAAGCAGTGGAAACCCTTAGGTTCTCCCCCGCGAAGTAGTTCAACGAGATAGAGTCTGTTGGAAAGGTGATGGCTTCTTTTTTATTCCGAAGGTGTAATCATGATAGAGCTCCTGGAAAAGGGGGGGACCTCTTAATGTACGATAGTATGCATCAGAAAAAGACAACTGAAGGAAGCAATCAAGTCGAAATGCAG